AACCCTTAGACCGTAAACCCTAAACCCTTAGACCGTAAACCCTGGACTTTAAACCCTTAAGCCCTTCAACCTTAAACGCCAAGCCCAAGAACCAATGAACAGCTGGACCCTTAAACCCTTAAGCCCGCCACAGCCGGAAGAAGAGGGTTTAGGGTCTAGGTTTTAGGGACCCTAAACCCTAAATCCTAAACAGGGCCTAGGAGAAGCCTCAAGGCGGCGTCGTTGCCCGGATGCTTCTTGGGAATCGGCTCCAATTGGCGCATCACTTTGAAGAGTGCAGGCAGGCCCCAGGGCAGCAACAAAAAATGTAGAAAAGGGTTCCTTCCAAGACTTTTGGTGTGTGGTCCTATAAGGGAGTAGAACAGGGTTCCTCTAAAGGTTTCTGTTAGGGTTTCTACAAGGGAATAGAGGGTTCAGGGTCGTGATTTGATGAGAATTTTGATGTAATGGTTAGAATAGGGTTTCTGTAAGGGTTCCAGAGGGGCAGCCAAGGGGCGGTCGGGTTTTACCCTAAAGCCCGATTGAACCCCTAAACTTTCAGAACCCTGCTCAGCCCTTCAAGCCCAGTTAATGACCCTTAAATGAATCCAAAGCCGCTAACCTTGAGCTCCTAAACCCAATCTCCCTCAGTGTGTATACTCCCCGGAATATGAAACTACATTACACCCTAAACCCTAATTCCTGAACCCTCATCACTGCCATCCTGAACCCACAAAGCTGATGTTCACCTTCAGGACATCAAAGAAGGGCTTTAAAGGAATTTAAAGGATCAATGGGACTTACCTGGTCCCTAAAGAACCCACCTTGACCTTCTATAAGTCCTTAAAGAGGTGAGTTTCCTAGGGTTAAGGCAGTAACTTAGGTTCCTTAAAGGGCTCGTACAGTTCCTGACAGAGAGGGATCCATGGGGGTTTAAGGTTATGTAAAGGACCCTTCCTTGGGGGTTCCTTTTAAGGGTTCCTTAAAGGGTTTTATAAGGGCTACTATAAGGGTTTAGGGGTGTAATTAGAATAGGGTTTTGGGGGCTCCTTACTATCAATGGGGCTTGCAACCTCAATTAAGGGACTCTTAAAAGACCCTCCAAGTAGACCTTAAAACCCTAAACCCCTTATAGATCCCTTCAAAGCACCTTTTTTACCTTACTCACTCAGTCCCATGATCCTCCAAGTAGACCTTAAACCCTAAACCCCTCATCATAGATCCCCCTAAGCCCTAAACCCTAAATACTTACTCAGTCCCATGACCCTCCAAGCAGGTGAATGGGGCTTTCTAACATCGCGCTGGTGCTTTCGGGAAGTGCCAGAGAGATGGCGGGAGCCGTTCCTTCGTCTTTGTTTGATATAGGTGCCTTAAAAGTTAGAATTGGATTTGGGGGTTCCTTTAAAGGGTTTTATAAAGGCTAGTATAAGGGTTTAGGGTTTTGGGGTCCTTGTAATAATTAGAATAGGGTTTGGGTATATCATACTAAAAATAGAATAAGGAACCCCAAAACCCCTATTCTACTTATTAAGTCCCCTAAGGGGTGATTGCAGGGAGTAGCATGGGTTCTAGGTCGCCCAGTCATACTCTTACACCCGCTTCGCAGCTTGTTAAGATTGAGCAGTGGGAACATGGCTCCCCGGTTATTTAGGAGGTTACGAGAAACTGTGGTATTCCTATGATACAAGCAAGTCTATGCCGTGCCCTAAACACCAAATCCCAAAATAGAGCCTTTACACAAACCGTGCTAAGTCTATAAGTCTGTAATCCCAATAACGCCCTTACAATAACCCCCGTACGGAACGCTTGTAGTGGCCTTTAAAACCCTCATAAATTCAACCAAAAAGCCTCATTAATCAAGCCCTGGTAAAACCTTATAAAAGCCTGTAGGACCCTTATCAAAAGCTCTAACCCTAAACCCTAAACCCCTAAACCCTAAACCCTAAACCCCTAAACCCCTAAACCCTAAACCCCTAAACCCCTAAACCCTAAACCCTAAACAACTCCCCAAGCCCCGCAAACTGTGAGCCCTAAGCTCTATGCACCCTCAGTCCGATACACCTTAAACAAGGGTCTGGGGTTTGGGGTTTATATGGTTTGAGGTTTAGGGTTTAGGGTTTATATGGGAGTTTCAGAAAATTAAGGGTACCTTATTTTGGGATCCTTATAATAAGGATCCTACTATTTGGGTACTATAGTAGGGTGCCCTATCTTCGGAAACCCCCATATGATTTGGGGTTTAGGGTTTAGGGTCTAAGCCTTATTTGCTTGCTGTCTTTCAGGCTTCAAAGCACTGCGTTGTGGATGCCACTGCCACGTCTGCCGATTGACTTAGACCTCCTCAAGGTGGGTTGGCCTTCGAGTACGTTGGTGGTCCACGTACCATAAACCCTAAACCCTAGACCCGAGGGTTTACGGTGCTAAGTATAGCAGTTGCTGTATGGGTGCCTCTTGAGGGTTCTATAGGGCGTTTTTGTAGGGATTGCTTCAGGATTTGTAGGGTCATGCATGAATCTAGTACATGCTTTGGGATTCAAGTAGTACCTATATAGGTACTTTAGGGCCTAAGTATATGCTGTATACTGCAAGGATACATGGACTTCACATGGACCTTTAGGAGTAGGTTGTTACAGGGCTTTCAGAATGTTGTTCATTTCATTTGTTCAACCGTTGTGCTTATAAAACTCAATCAAAACCTTATGAAATCATTGCTAAGCTCAGACCCCCTTTTAGAGTAACACCATGAAACCCTGATGACAAATCTAGAAACCTTTTAACCTCCCTACAACATCGTCATGGTTAGCAGTATCATTGTATTTGTACCCTCTGAAGCACCCAGCAGCATGTTCTGATGATTGAGGCCCCTCCATCACACCCTGAACCTCTAAACCCCTAACCCCCCCGCAAACCCTAAACCCCTATATCCTTTAATCCCTCAAACCCCCAAAACCCTTAAGCCCCAAAATGTCAGAATCTTTTAATAGAGCTCTTGTAGCTCCCTCTGAGGGAGCCCTTATCCCCCCAACCCCGACATCCTTAAACACCCAAAAGCCTAAACCTCTAAACCCCTATATGGGTAGTTTTCTAAATTAGGGTCCGTTTTATAAGGGTGCCGTACTATATGGGGGACCTAATAAGGGACCCTATTTTAGAGAACTACCTATATCCTTAAACCCCTAAAGCCCCAAACCCCAAAATGTCAGAAGCCCCAAACCCCCCTAAACCCGAAACCTTAAACCCGAGACC